AAAGCCGTATTTGGAGGCCCACAATTTGGTTGCCCTTCACCTCTTTAGATAATCAACTGCTGCCCAGCAGGGTAGGGACCTACACTATTGCAATAATTTACATAAGAAATTAGCAACCAAAATTTACATCTGAATGGTAACCCTCCTCCAGCCCAGCAGGTGTTTAAGTATCTGCTTATCTAAATTGCCTCTAAAATAGCTTTACCTTCCTTTAAACCTTAGGTAAATAGAGGATTTCCCATGCGGGGAAGGTGCTTTGCTGAAAGGAGTCCAGGCATTCATTATATCGTACTATTTCACTGCCATTTTTAAATTTTTTGGGGCGGAACCGGGGATTGAACTCAGGTCCTTGAGCTTGCCAGGCAAGCGCTTATTCCACTGAGCCATCTCCTTGGTCCCTCACTGCCATTTTTATAGGGAAAATTTCCCTTTGAGAAAACCATCAGAAGTATTTTAGAATTCACCAAAATGAAAGAGCTACCTAAAACACAAACCACTTTTAAGTGTTGTCTTAAATGCCATCCTCCTGGGTGAACTGGGGGTAAATGAATAAGGAACACTGATTAGAAGAACCAAAAGTAGATGAGGTAGGAATCTAAGTCTAGGACAGATGCACGACAGTTGGGATCGTCTTGGAATTACAATCTCCTGCATGGATAATTCTTGGATCTCAGGAAAAAACTGCACTTCCCTTCTCTTTAACACACCTCTCACCCTTCCCATGTACTTCTCATTTCTCTTACTTTAAAATTTAAGAAACATTTGTTAGCCATAAATCCCTGACTTGATGTCTTGGTGAGTATGAGTGATACCAGTGCTGCCTACCACCTCAACAGGCAAACCAGAAACGTAACGAAGGTATAGAGACACAGAAGTCTCTCCCCACTGTTTGGTATAAAAATTGATTACTTCAAACTTCCCTATTGTAAGGCTTTAACTCTGGTTCTGTTTTATTCTCACATACAGCAAGATCTTTAATGAGATTGCAAACATATTTTAACCTTTATTTCAACTTCTATTTTGTTACTTGGCAACCACAGCTAGGCATAACAACGGGCACACGGCAAACAGCAGAAACACAGTGCTCATCTCTCGGCCAAGCCCCACGTGAGCAGCGGCAGTGTCCACTGCTAGAGACCACTCGTGTGAGCCAGGCACGGAAAGCTACCGAGGACAGCCAGCTAGGTCTCCTAACGCTCTAGGTAGGAGAGAACGCTTGCTGGTTACAAGAATCTCAGGAAGCTTTCTTTTGGGGGAAGCGAGAGAAAATGAAACTCCCAACTTCAAAGCCAACTATTTATCTAGCTTTGAGTATTTGAATCTTTACATTATAGAAACTCCTTGTTTAACAACCTTCCTGGTTAATGACTGTTCAGACTTAGGAGAGAGACCCATCTTTGCTTTTTGAACAGTCTGTACATGTTGATAGAGCGTCGGTGTCTTTTTTGCATAGTTCACCTTTTTTTTTTTTTTTCGGAACCGGGGATTGAACTCAGGCCCTTACGTTTGCCAGGAAAGTGCTTATTCCACTGTGCCATCTCCCTGGTCCCCATAGTTTACCTTATTTATACAGCACTGTAATTTTAATTGTACTGTAAAGTACTGTAGTTTATGTTCTGTTGCACATGACAGTACTGCATGTAAGAGTTACGCAAGTAAAAGCCACCAAGTTGGGGTTTCCTTTGACCATTTTTGTCCTGAACACTGTACACACTGTGTATGGTTCTTCACTTAGCGCCCAGTTTACTCGATGGATGGCCTGGTCTCAGGACGGGAGCTCAGTCGTTAAAGGAAGAGTCCCAGGAGCCCACAGCAGTCTGGGCGCCTTCCCTAGCATGTGCGCAAAGGGGCGCAGCGCTCAGGAAGAGATAAATGCTTTCAAAGTATAGATGCTTTCTTTCCTTTTTTTTTTTTTTTTAATGTATTTGGTTCAGGGTCTCACTACGCAGCTCAGACTTGTAGTGATCCTCCTGTTTCAGCCTCCCCAGAGCTGGGATTACATGCGTGCGCCACCATGCTTGGTCTTGGTGGCTGGCTCTGTGTGCCTGGGGGGGGCGGTGCTGGTGTGGCATGCAGTGGAATCAAGCCCGGGTCCCTGAGCTCGCCTGAGCAGTTGCTAAGTCTGCTGAGCTATCTCACCGGCCCTGGATTGTTTCTGTGACTGGTGCTGGAGTAAAATAAGTTACCCGACCTTTTCTTGGATATTGAGGCACAAAATTCAACCTCTGAACTTGTTTTGTTGCCTTCATGTCCAACAAATACATGGTTTGCCTGTTTTGATGCTGAAGGGAGGATTTGGAGCACGGCCCTTTGCAACCTGTTGGTCACATGGTACATGCGGAACAGCTGGGCCAGGGCCAGGAAAGTGACCAGCGCACGCTTTCTGTGGGGCTCACTTCATAGGACTATTTGCTTCCAACAGTTCCTTAGGGGATGATAAAACGAATTCATTTCAAGTTAAATTAAATCTCAGAGATAAACTCTTTTGAAATGATGTTTAACCTTTGAAACTTTGATATGTGAAAGCGTCTCACTGAGCCAGGCATTCTCTCAAGGGTTAGTTTGGAGCCACAGGAAACAATTGAACAACTGTCACTGTTATTCTTGGCCCTGTGCTTTGTGGGTTTTTTTTCAGAGAGTACAAATTAGAATTAAAACAGAAAAAATTACAAGTGATACAGAATTTCACTTAAAGCCTGTGGTGGTTTTATGCGTTTAATTTTTGTCCCATGACCCTGGCTAGCGAGCGCCTCTCCAGCATACTTTATGTATCTTCTGCCCTCCAGGACGCTTACTGCAGAGGAGGAACGGTCAGGGCTCCATCAGTGCCAGGTTCACTGTCGAGGACACTCAGCATTTCCGGTGGTTTTTACGGAGCCAAACAAGTTCTTGGTTCTGTGATATCTAGCAATAGTTTAAGTTTTGTTGGTCCCCTGCAGCGACCTGCAGAAGCTCCTTCATGAATGAGCCGGAGTGGCACATTCAGGGCACAGCTTCCAGCAGTGCCAGCTGTGTGACCACTGTGACCTAGAAGAACTCATGGAAGCCACTAGGACACCAGGAAGGGGCGTGTGAGGGAGTACAGGAGTAGGCGCTCTGTGGACCTCCAGAGATCACATCTGGTTGCACCTGCTGGCATTGATGAGCACTTTCTATGTCACGGCTGCACCATCAGATGCCCCGGATTTTCTGAAGGATTTTCTTTTGTTGTTGTTGTTGCTTTTGCATTTTAGGGAAGCGTCTACAGGGTGTTCAAGGTCTCACTACTAGATCGGAGTCATAGTGATCCGCCTGTTTACAGCCTCCCAAGAGATGGGATTACAGGCGCACACCACCATGCCCAGTCTCAATCCCCGCCTCAGTGCACCCTGGGGGTGGGGGCAGGGCCATCACTGCGGGCCGGGGATGGGAACCCCCCCCACCCTCCCTCCTGCTTGCAGGCGCTTTAATCCGCTGAGCTATTTGGCGGCCCATGAATGATTTTCATGGGCCTTTTCTCACATGCAAGATCAATACTGCCTGAACCCAGCTGATGTGACGACTGGGTGGTGGCTGCTGTATTCGATTTTGAAGGCTGTTGGAGGCCAGGTGTTCCGAAGGAAACAAATCATTTCACTGAAGTATTTTGACAACGCGATGTCTACTACAAACATTCCTTGTTTAACGACCTGCCTGTTTAATGACTGTTAGGACTTAGGACAGAGGTGTGCTGCTGTTCAGAAGTATGTATCACTTGCATTCAGACTTACGAACTTTTTATTTATTTATTTATTTTTACACTTCTGTACCTCCTATTTATGGAGCCTCAGTATGTTTTTTTGTATGATGTACCTTGCTTATACAGTACTATAATTTCTTGCTGATTTATATAAAGTACTTTATGTTCTGTTGTACATTACAGTACTGCACGTGAGAGTTACACAAATAAAAGCAATGTCATCAAGTTGGGGTTTCCTCTGACCATTTTTTTGTTCTGAATATTGTGATGTCCACACTGTCCACAGCCCCTCACTTAGCAACCAGTTCCCTCAGCAACCCAGTTGCAGGCCCCTACCTTGGTTGTTAAATGAAGAGTGTTGGTGTTTGCATTTCAAGCTATGGAAGGAGATTTCTCCCACATCTTTGTCCCTTTTCTTTCCTAATCAAAAGTTTCATTCACTGACAACATCCCAGGTCCCTCATGCTGGGTATAAAAGCTACACTCTGGCTAATATAGATAAAGTGAAACCCACATACTAATTATTCTGATGGTGAAAGAATAGCAACAAAATCAAGGGGAGAAAGACTTTACGTTGTGATAGAATCGGAACCATGAAATAATGAAAATATTAGGGACTACACTTTTCTTATTAAAACTGTGGTTAAAACCTTGATGGAGGGCTGCGGATATGGCTCAGTGGCATAAGAGCCTGCCTGGCAAATGCAAGGTCCTGAGTTTGATCCCTGGAACCACAAAAACCAAAACCAAAACTGATGAAAGAGATGGCTGACACAAATAAATAAAATGAGATTTTCAGTTATTTATATTTCATCCTCTATAGATAAACTGTCACATTCTTTGTGCCTGCACTGACGAGAGTTGAAAATAAATGTAAAGGTAATGCAAGACCCCTGATGTCTCTAGTATATTTAGGAGGAGGAGGAAGAGGGAAGAGAGAATGCTACAGAAGTTCCTCAGGCAGCAGCATTCTCGCCAGCAGTATGCAGCATGCTGGAGAAACTTGGGCCTGTGTGTGGACTTGCATTTGCAAAGACCCTTTCAGAAGAGCAATTCAACTGTGCAGCTCAACCTCACCATCTGTACGATGGGGCCAGAACACTTTTCTTCCTTGTAGAAACCTGCTGTGAAGTTACAGAACACGATGGGTGTCTACACACAAGCACTTCTCAGTCCTCTCCACAATTCTTGGTGTCCATCTTTGAATGCTACATGGAATGACTGGAAACACCAGACACCGTTAGAGGGGAAACAGATAAAAGAAAACGAAACCAAGACCCACCATCTGTCGTGCAGGACCCTTCTGGCGCAGGTTTCTGCGAGTAGGGAATTGGCGGGCTGTTGGACTCAGACATCTCATCCTCATCCTCATCTTCTTCCATTTCATTAACTGTCAGATTGTTAGCAAAATCCAGACTGTCATTCTGCGTGTAGCGGTGAACCAAATCTTTATCCAGATCCTCCACTTTGGGTTTGACATCTAAAAAACAAAGAATTCAATAACAAGATGCTTATGGAATAATCATCGGGAGAAAATTTAAAGTTCTCAAAGATACATTTGAACAAAAGGAGATCAGCATTTTCTAACACTTCGTCAGATTATTTCGGTGTACCTAAGATTTGGAATGTACAGTTTTTGTCTTGGAGGTACTGGGTCCTGAGCCCACGGGGGCTCTAACATTGAGCTGTACTCCTAGCCCTTTTCATTTTTTGAGTATTATCTTACTACATTGCCCAAGATGATCTCAAATTTGTAGCCCTCCTGCCTCAGCCTCCCAAGTAACTGAGATTATCGGCATGCATGGCCCAATTTTAAAAAGTCTAGAAATGTGTGCATGAATGAGAAACTTACCTGCAGATGAAAAAGGATGCTGGTCAGGGTCCAAGTAGAGCTGGGAAAAAATTGGCCGTGGAACCACGCTACTACATCTGAGAGAGGCTTCTATGGAGTTGTGGAGAGCTTCCTCAAATCGAGCAGACTTCAGTTGCCCGGCATATGAGTTCCCCATGGTCTACACCCACCCTCAAAGGAGAAGAAAAAAGAAGAAAGAAAAGCAATAGAATCAGCGGTTATACATCTGCAAAGTACACGTATAGCCAACATAAACTATACCCATAGCTTACTAAGATGGGAACTACATAAAGTATATTTTTGTTAAGACAACTAGCTCAAGTTATCTGTTACACCGCTGGTGCTGTAGGTCTTTACAGCCCAGATGCACTTCACAGACCCCTTTAAATGATCTTAAATCTAAGATTTCAACAGTAGTAAATGTTTGAGGTTAAGGCTCTTGGGTAGGTATATCAAGATTGACCTGTCAGCCCCGAGGCCCAAGCTGATTAACAAAGGACCACACCTGCTCTGTGCAACACAGCCCACACCAATCCTGTCTGTGGGTTCAGAGTAAACACCTAGTTACCACTTCCTCTAATAAGCTCTACTACTGAAGGGTGGTACCATATCAAAGTTTTATAATAATATATTTACAAACATACTATAAGCTCCAAAAAGCAAGATTTGAGGCCTTTAACTGAAAGAATTCTTTTATGAATACTAGTATTTATTTGGAGAACACTGTTGGTTCTTTTTCCTGATCTGAAGCAATATATTTTTATTTGGGACACTTCAGGAAAGTACATAATAAGAAGTCCTTGGTCTACAATATCACTAATATTTATACTTGCCAGTATTAAAAATTCCCCAATTACTTTCAAACCATTACTAGGATATTATTTGCCTTTTTCATTTCACTCTCTCAGAGGTGTACAGAGGAATTTTTTTTCTATAATTTTATTGAGAAACAAATAGCAATGAGACAGTTTCAAATCTGATTAGTAGACCAGTTTCAATAATTAATACATTGCATATTGTTGTCTTAGTGGTTATTCATTGTACAAGGTACAAACATGATATCCTGTTTACAAACACTATTAGAACAGATCTTTCTATTCATTGAATTCAGAGAATGTAGCTGTCTATCTATCCTAACTATTGTGAATATACAGATACAAAATGTTTGTTCATATGTATCCCCCTTTTTTTGTTTAGTTTTGTCATTTAAGTATTATAGGTGTGTGAAGTCAGCAAAATATTTCAAAATAGTCCAGTAGTGCATAATAGTAGTGGGTTTTCTGTAAGACTGGCAATGTCAGAAGTTATTGACTTGAACCTTTTCTAGCTTAGCATATCAATATGGCTTTACTTTATATACCTCATTTTTATACTTTCCTGCTGGATGGTTAAAGATAAAGCAAGACCTATATAACAAGAAATGTAGCTTTTGTATCTGATAAGGTCAGTCAAATCCCCTCTGGACTTAGCCTGAAGCCCTGTACTGCAGTTTGTAGATCCTTTGTCAGTGTCAGCCATATGGATGAGTCACAGCCATTGCTTAACCAATTTGCTCTCTGTGAAAGCCTGAGAGAATGTTTTCACTCCATGTGACTCTCCTTAGGCACACACTACATCATTGATCACTTTCCTCTGTGGTCTCATAATCTCTTTGATCAGAAAATTTCGGACACAACTGAGTTACATGATGTTACAGTACAGGTTCTCCTATGTCCTGAGTCTTCACTGACCTTGAAAGGCCAGGGCCAAAATGTTGGCTGTCCTTGCAGCCCTTCCTTTTCTCTAATTTTTGGTCTGCAAACTTAGGTTGTTAACCCTCCAGAAGAGAAGCTCATTGTTATTACCCTACAACCTAGGCTGCTGAGCTTAACCTCACTGTCTGTCTGAGTATCAAACATCTTAGGCATAACATGGAACAGGTATTTTTCATCAAGTATTGATATATTAAACTTTAAGTCCCTACAGAATATGAAGAA